GGGATAATCATTGCCATCGTCATCATAAAGTAACCTTGAAATGCTTCATTCCAGCTCTTTGAAAATGGGAGCTGAGTTCCCTACGGAACAAGGAGGGCGGGTGTGAGAGAGGCATCACAATAAACAGCAGAGGAGAAGCCCTTATATGTCCCTGTTCAATAGGTACGGAAGGGGTTTACCTGAAGAACTCTCCGCAAGAAATGGTTGGGTTGGGATTTTCATTTCAACAAGAAGAGTGGTGGGTTAGAGCCCACTAAGGCCCCCAATATTGATGGTCTCGGTTTCGCCCATGCCAGGCTGAAGTTGCTACTACTCATCGCAAAGGCAGGCAAGGAAGGCAGGGCAGGGGGTTTCTGCCATGGTGGACAGCCCAGGAGATGCCGGACTGATATCTGTGTCAACTAAAAAGAGACTCCTTTGGTCTTTTTAGCTGCCAGAAAAAGGGAGTGGGGGAAAACAAGTCACTCTTGAAGTGCCTAGATAATCAACTCAGCAGCCCAAAGTTGTCAGAGCATAAGAAGGTTATTGGAGAGCATGATGGATGACTCTTGGACTGATGTGTCCTATTGGAGAAGTCACATCCAGGGGGTGGGGGAAAGACCGGGGTCAAGGGGGAAATGGATGATGGGATTGAGTACCGGCTACATCCAGCCATGCACCAACATCACAATTTCTAATAAACCACTTTACTTTTTCTGAGATTTGGCTGGAGACTTTTGTTTTGAATGAGGGGGATTTGTTGGAGCCCTGACAATCTGAGGAGGCCTTTTGTTCATTTCCAGCTCCAAGTATCTCCACTCAGGGGCTACGGGAAAGGCTCGGCTGGACACCCATGGGGGGAACCAAATGGATTGGGGCACTTCACTGGCCTGATGGCTTCCTGGAGCAATGAGCTTGCTCTCTGTTAAATGTCTATGGAGATTCTCCATCATCCAGATCATGGTTGTCCCAAAGGTGCTTTTTTCAAGACTTACTGGTTTTTCTCTGAAGACATTTTGCTTCTCATTCAAAAACCTTCTTCAGTTCTGACAGGATAGTGGGGAAGAGCTGAAGAAGCTTCTTGGATGAGAAGCGAAACATCTTCAAAGAAAAACCAGGAAATCCAGCTGCCTCTTGAAGAAAAGCACCTTTGGGACGTTGCTCTCTACTATAGAAGCTTGCCACCATGCAGATCTGAATGGACTCCGCTAAGACTTGGGGGATACTGAGCCAAGTCCACTCTTTATCCATGAAAACTCATGGACTTCTTGGAAACTGTCTCTTCTACTCTACATCCTTCTCTGTCACAGCCCAATGGAGCCCAGTTTGGAGGAAGAGGAGGAGGAGGAGGAAGAGGAGGAG